GGTGGGGTGTTAAAAAGTAGGATCAAACTGAAAGAATGGTTTAGGTTACGTCTCCTGTCTGACTGTCTTGACTAAACCGGTCTCCTGGGGCCACCAGCTTAGAGTTGAAGGGGACCTTTGAGAGGGCTAGGTCAACATTTGCAGGGTACATACTAAAGACATGGAAGGTCGGAGGGGTGCAGTGACAGAATCAGAAGTAGAACCCAGCTCTTCTGATTCCCAGTCTCGAGATCTTGAAGAAATCTCTGAGCAAACTGGATGGCTTTATGGCTGTAGTTCTACTGAAACCGTGGCCTTCTCGGTGGTCTTCTTGCTTATGTAAGGCTTCAGAATGCTGCAAATGGAAGGGACTTCTGAGGTTCTTAAATCCATCTCCTTCTTGTGCAGAGGACAGTGAGGCAGACGGAAAGTAAGCAAGACCAGTACTCAAGGCCAGTGCCAGGACTGGAATCCAGATCCCCTGGCACCTGCAGGTTAGAAGTACCTTAGAGGCACGGTAATGAAGTAGGAATATAGTTCGCTCTGTTTCCAGATGTTGATTCTATCACCCTAGGGTACATCATGGGACCATCTTGAAAAATCTCTTTGTAAAATGGATCTTAGGGCTTCAGGTTAGGGCAGGGAAGTCATAGGTTCTGTAAGAATTAGGAGTTTGAGGTCCAGACTCATGAATTTGCTAGCCAGTATGGTCCTTATTTGCCTTGTCTTTATACACGGAGGGAGGCTCATGGGATTTTTCACTCTGATAATTCCTAGAGCAGGGGTCAGCAAATGAAATCTCCCAGGCCAAGGAGGGTCAAGTTTCAAATTTGTTTTTGTAAATAAAATTTTATTGGCACACAGCCATGACAGTTCAGTTATGGATATCAGTTTCTGTTTTCATGCTACAATGGCAGAACTGAATAGTTTTAACAGTATGGCTCACAGAGCCTAAGATACAGTGAATGTTTGCCTACAGTTATACTACTGGATGTTTGTGAAATGAGGGATGTTGACATTCACGTTCATCATGGTGGAATTAGTGAAACACACATCCCAAGCAGTGGTGGAACTGCGATAGCCCTTCCTAACTATAGAAATCAGTCACAGCATCTCTGAAGTTTAAGGAAAGAGCTGAGCCAATATTATTTTTCAATATCCCACTTGGCCCCATTTTAAAGTTCTTTTCTATATGGTTCCTAAGGAAATTCTAATTCATGAGAATCACAACAGAGGGAATGGTCTAAGTGTCCACTAACCAGCAGGACCTGAGTTATTTTCCTTTAAAATAGGCACAAATTAGCTCATACTCCTTGAGAGGAAGAAACGTTTTTAAAAATTAAATTATAGTTCAGATACCAACTCACGGCATGATTAAATTGAGTGGCACTCATGGTAGAAGCTGTGTCCCTCGGAGGGTGTGTGTGGGGAAGAAGAGACTGCCCTCTTTGATGTGCAAAAATCCCGTTCTTCCCAAGACTCTTGGGGATGGGGTTGGGTGAAGCAGAGGGAAACCTGAGACACATTTATGCTTCCCACATTTCACCTTGGCTTTCCTCTCCCTCAACAGCCTTAACCTCAGTACGTGTTGTTCTTAATAATATTGTTGAAGTCTTAATGAAAAGATTTTTGGAAACAAATGGCTTTGGTTACATTGCAAATAGATTCACTAGAATTATTTTTTTTAAGTAAAATGAAATTCAGTATATTTCAATGTTCTATAAATAGTTTTTCTCTTTTCTTTCTCGACCGTGATTCTGGTTCTTGTTCAAAAGTGCCTTGCAAAAAGCTACTTAGAAGAACAAGAAAGCTGTGACTAGATACCCGCCTTGCCCTTGAACATAACAGGCCCACCCTTTTCTTCTCACATCTCCAGACAACTGGCCTGGCCACCCCTGGCCATACACACTTGAAATACTCTAGGGAAGGGAAGAGGGCTACCCAGGCCTTGACAGCAGGCTTGGTACCTCTTGGGCAGGCTATCCCAGGTTCCTGGATGAGCACGGTCTGAAGGGGTGTGTGTAGACAGGATTATACACTTCTCCTTGACCTCATGGACTTCTTGCTATGCAGGGAGGGACATATGTGACAGTACTGGCTCCGAAGGCCCCAGTGCTTGGCAGTAGGAAAGATGCTGTGATCTGTGGCTTCTCTTTTTTTTGTCCCTTTTGGCTCAACATGCCTAGGATCATCGTGGCTCATCAACAGAATTATACAGGACCAAGAAAAACATTTGAACAAGGATGACAATGTACTAGGAGGCCAGCTGCATAGAGTCCGAGTTCTGGGAAGCCTGCCTTAGGTGGAACAAAAACAATTGTTCTCTTATTCCAAGAACAGAGCACGTAGGAAGCCTCCCTTTCCATAAACAGTAAGCTTCGAACTGGAGCCAGGCCCTGCTGAGCTGAGACCACAAATTCCATTAGCACCGGCCCACAGCCCACTCCGGGCAGACAGACCTGAGGGCCTCGAGTGGGGTTTCTAGAGCCTCAGGCCTCATCCCCTTAACAGAGTCTCCCTTTCTCTCTACCGCGTAGAAAGCTCTGTCATGCCTGGTTTTGTCTCTACAGATAACAACACCATCTCAGAACTCAGCTCCCTGCATGAGGAGGACAGCAATTTCTGTCAACCGTACCATCAGATGCGAAGCAAGCCGTTCCCTGTGTCTGGGGACTTGGAGAGCAATCCTGACTACTGGTCAGGTGTCATGGGAGGCAGCAGCGGGCCGAGCCGGGGGCCCTCAGCGGTGGAATATAACAAAGAGGACCGGGAAAGCTTCCAGCACAGGTGATGGGTATGAGGGGTAGAGGCAGGTTAATGCTGAGCCTCTTGTTTTGTACAAACATCCGTCTCCCATCTTGGGCTGCCGGCCACGTCTTTTAATCTAGGCTGTGGAGTTCAGTAAGCAAGGGAGCCCTTGTGGCACCCCCTGTAGGAGAAATCCTTTAAGGCCTTTTGAAGATGTGTGCCACCGGCCCCTCGAGGGACCTTCACCCTCTCTTCAGATACTTTATCCTATGACCTCTAATAATTCCCACCCATCGCTTGCATCATTTTTGATCATTTGTCATGTGTGCGGCAAAATACCAACACTTACACTGTTGCATTTACTTTTCATAACTCAAAGGTATCTACCCCGTTGTCTCCATTTGAAGTTGGGAAATAGAAATTCCCAGATGCTTAGGAACTTACCTAGGGGTTAAGACCAACGAACAGGGGAGGCAGAGATTTTACCATTTTTGTAACCACTTCCCCTTGCTTGGCACCTGCACCCCTCACCTATCCTTTACCTTGAGTCACAGACATGACCCTTTTCCTACCAACTGCAAGGGTCTCTCTGGCCTCCTGCCCCATCATGTGGCCCTAAGCCCTGAAGGAGACACAGGCCTGTTTACATCGGCATATATCCCGGAGGCTCTGTGTGCTGTGCCACTTGGCTAGCTCCGAGAGAGGGCAGATGAGATGTGGACGGTCCACCCTAACGATCAAAGGCCTCGCCGTGTTTCAGCACTGAGGCTCCCAGAAAGCATTTCTGGCCAGTCAATGCCATTCCGACCCCTCTCGCAAACTCCTCGGGTAGCCAGGGTCGCTCTCCCTGGATGCACCACGGGGCGTCTGAGGGCACAAGAGGACGGGTGCATCCTGGCGCAGAGCCGAGGTCCCGGGATGCCCAGGGCACTCTCACAGGCCGGCCTCGGTCTCCCCACCTTGAACCAGGCAGGGTGCGGGCTCCGTGACCCGCGGTGCCCTGACCCACCACCTCCTCTGCCCGCAGCCAGCAGCGCTGCAAGTCGGAGATGCTGTCCAGGAAGAGCTTCTCCGGGGGCGTGCCGGCCGTGTCCATGG